AAACAATTTTTTTACAGTCAAATGTACATGCATTATTGAAGGTATGCTGGTCCCACTAATGCCTAAGGTTGTCCCAATCTCACGATAGGTCACATGACGGTCTTACAATATTGTTTGTGCACAGTATCAACGGTTTCCGGAACAACAACTGATTTTGGACGACCTCCACGAAATTCGTCTTCGAGTAAACTACGACCTCGGGTGAACTCACTGCACCATCGATAAACACTGGTCCTGGATGGAGCTTCATCACCAAAAATTGAACTAAGTTCATCCATGCATTGCTGTTGAGTTAGTCCACGTCGAAAGTTGTAGAAAATAATGGCGCGAAAATGCTCACGGTTCAACCCCATAACTTGGCCTAAACAAAATCTTATAACTTAGTGTGAACAACACAAATCACGCTCAAATCTCGCAACGGAGCCTCAAAATAGTTGAACTTTACGATAGTGGTGTCATTTGCTAGATTGCTACAGTAGTGTTGCCAAATCTCAAAATATAAAAGGCAGCCCTCGTAACTAGGCAGTTTCCAGGTGACTTGACCATCTGCTTTCAGCTTACTCTTCTCTCTTATTATAATTCTATATATTGTGTGTAATATATTGACGGTTATCTATATGTCCCTGAATGTGCTAAACTATAAAGGCATTCAAGCATATATGATTATTGGTACAATTTATCAGGGCGTTTATATCTATCTGACATGCACAGGTTAGTTTATACTTCAGGCTTCAAGTTTATGCAATAGAGTGGGCATTGAGGCTCTTAAGAGCACGGATCACGATGAAAGTGGTTTCTGAAACTACCGAAATTATCTGGTTTTCGAATGAGTTCCATATAAGTGTAATGTCGGGAAGCGGCCTGGATAGGGCGTTATCAGGGCTCAGAGACTATATCTGCTGTATGCTACACCCAAAGGCGGACGAGTTTTAGCGGCATTGTAAAGGCTGCACCGCTCACAAGGGGCCCACGTTGCAAGCTCGAACAACTAAGGTGATTCATGGCGACACAGAGAGGCAGTTTTGGACATTTTAAGCTTGGTGTGGTCTGCTCTTATTTGCACCAACTGAAATATCGTCCGAGAACTACTTCCATGCCATTTCCGTTATGGTAATCTCGTGCAACCTCTACTTTCATTACCCTAGAGGAGCTTTACCTCGAAGTCGGCGGATTTTCTGTCTTTCTTTGCCACTGGTGTACCGTTCTTCCCAGCTATTTCGCTTTTCAACCAAAGAAGTTCCCCCCAGGAGTGTCTCTGAATCCATACCCGAACCTGTTCTAGAGAAATGCATAGCGCAGTACAACCAAAACTTCAAAATCGGTTTTTCATGCCTTGAGCGCGATGGTTTCAGTGATCTATTGCGTGATGGAGCGCTTTCTTGCAACTGTTTCCTCTAAAACCTATGAATTTCGAAGAAACTGGTTCGTACTGATCGTTGGTCAAATCACTGCGGTAAGTGGATGTAATTGCTGGCTGCAGATGCTTTATATATATCATGTAGACTATTTTCAGGGTATCATTATTTTTCTTCACATTCATGTTTACCGTCTAGGTGAGTAATTAGAATATTGTATTTTTATCTTGTTAAATATACTTTCCGAAAAAAATCGTTCTAACAATAATTTGTGTAATAGCTCAATCATCAGCATCACCAGTAGAAACGTTGCTATTACTCTACAGTACTGGTTTCGAGGCCCGTCGCATAGTTAGTAGTTGACTCCCTTGCTCAAGATCATGGAACATTCTGACATGGGTACCCCTTTCGAACATATTTTTAAGGTTTTCGGCTTAGAGAAAGGGAGATTTTGATTTTTCGTTTTTTTATCAGGCCACTAAATGCGTCATCATTTTGGGAGCTGGAGCTTGAAGCCTCGGAAGAATGTGACGAAAGCAATCCACGACCTTCTCGCTCCATGAGTTCCCTTGTTGGCTTACAATCCCTCTTCCCTGTTTCTATGCGAAGTGGAACTTCTGTAGGAATCAAGCAAATACTTGATCCCAGAGAGCTGCTACCTGATACCCCTGAGAACACGTCTAAGGAGTGAGGGGAGACCCTTAATTCTTCATCGCCGTGTGGCAGAGTTTTTCAGGTCGACCTGACAGCTAGTGACTTTCTGAACCCTCAACTTTTGGAAATCTACAAAAATGAGAAACCGAGAAAACGAAGGATACTTTGTACGGAAAAAAACCTTAAAATCTGAGTTTCAAGTAGTACAATGTCTCTTCCATTAACTTAAAGGCACTGTTCGCGATGATTCAATAGGCGGGTGTGTCGATGACGTGTCCGCCTCTCATTCGATGTCACGTTAGACAGTCTGACGTGCCCGCCCATTGAATTATCGCGATCAGTGCCTTTAATCCATTGACTATCAGGTACAGCTAGCCGCCCAACGCTCTCAGTGAGTACATAGTAACCCATTGATCGTGCCTATTTTGATACGAGGTCGAGGCCACTACTCATCTAAGGGAAACATGCCCTTTTGTTAGGTTCTTTTTAATATCATCCTCCTCGTGTATGTGGTTCGTTATAAGCTCACGGCCCATTGGCGCCAGAGATTGCAATAGAGTTTCACCCTCAGTAGTTCCTCCCATCGAGTGAAAATTTTCGAAGATTCACCTTTCCTCGAGATACCCCAAAGTGAACCGCCAGCGACGGATTGCGCTTATAATTTATTCGGCAAGCATTTTTTGCAATTGTCGGCAGCCTCTGAGCCGACCACCAACTGTAAGATTAATTGTAAGTTGACGTAGAATGCAGAGATTCAATAATTATCACGTCTAGATGGGAACACCTTTGGATGACTAAGAATAAGCTTTTCGATATTTCATTATCATTCTAATCTTTCCAGGTGGTACCATCAGTGACATGGTCCAGCTTGGGCTTTCGTTTGTGATATTTACGGTAAGTGATATTTTATACTCACGCATCCGATTGGGAAACCTACCGTCCTACATTCAAAGTAGTAGCGACCACGTTGAAGGGTAGCTACGTCCGAATGGATCTATGTGGTAGCGAGAAATCCCATTCCGCAACAGCTAACAATTAAACTGGGTACATATACGTATGTATGTACGTGTCAACCTACCAAAATTGTCATTCCAATTAACACTTTAACTCTCCCTCTACTCTGGTATCAATAAACCGAACCCCGGGAGATGGAGCGTTCGGGTAGCCGAAGCGATTAGGATTTGATTCTTTGATTTCCCAATGAGTAATGTGCCAGTTCTGTTTATGCCGCCTCCGTTGAGACGTTGGAAGGCGCATTTAGCATGATCGATTCAAAATCAATTCCTTCTAATAAGTGCGGAAGTGGTGCAGTGGCAAGTGGCGTACTTCACACACGCACGGTTCGTTGTCCGGCTTGGTATCCGCCTAGGCAAACCTAGCCTTCCATCCCTCCGGGGTCGGTTAATTTGTAATAGACTTGTGTGGGAGGATAGAAGAACTGACTTGTACATTGGCTGGCCACCAGAAGTCATTGTATAGGCCACATAAGCGCTCATTACGCCACTAAAATTCTGAATGGAAGTCGAATGCGGGGCGCATCCCTCAGACGGGCTTGATTTACGCCTTAAGCATTATCATTTTATTTATCCTATATCCTTTAAGTGCATAGCTGTTCTTCTTGCGGTGAACCGTCGTCTGCATCTGTTGACTAGAGGTAGAGGATCGCTTTCAAGTCGTTATCAGATCTCGGAGAACGTCAGAGCACTGAGGTTCGAAATCCACGGACATCCTCTTAGCTCCACTGCTTCTAATGTGATTACAGATTGGTCGCTCCTGTGGTTCTCCTAGATACAAGCGTCACCATAACTGATATGATCGGCACGCTTTTCTTCGACGTTCGACCTGCATTTGACCGTGATAGCTACGTATCCGGATCAAGTAGATACCTAGTAGCTTACATAGTGTTGCGTGGAGTGAGTGGCTTCAAATAACCCCATGTTCTTTGCTTAGCAAAAACCACTGGCGTTTCAGGCAGCTGTTATTCTGCAATACGGGATTCCAGTTGCGATTGTCAGCCACGAAACGTTACGGAAGGTTGCATGCGGATCGCTGTCGAAGGTTACTGGCAAGCCTTCGTGCACCCGGACTGACGAGGTGAGTATTCCGTTCAAGCAACTTACAAATATGACCCGACCCGTTCGGTGACCTTCCGAAGTGCACCATGAACGTCACGCTCTTTCTAGGCTGTAAATGTTTTCGAGAGCGCATCCGAGATGAGTTACAGATGAGTTATGACAAAAGCATTGCCCCATGTCATTTACATGCAATTGGAATCTCGATACCAATTCCGTTTTCCGACTTTCGCCTCGCTTTTGACCTTCACTTAGAATTGTAGTATCATATTGAACACTTATGTGGCCTAAACACTGTCTTGCGGGGCAAATCTGGACCCACTTGGCTGACCCTGGAGGAATGAGAGGCTTGTTTGACCTGGGCTGATATCGATCCTGTATTCGTACCTGTGACTATGTGTGTGTGTGTGTGATAGTGCGCCACTTGCCACTACACCATCGTTCCCCTGAATTGAGAACATGATTAAAAATTCAAGCGTCACCAAGAATTCACTGGAAAGTTCGAACTGTACATTGAGAATTGCAGGTGGGAGAGATTGAAGCTCGACGCGAAAGTCATCAGGCTGTTTACTTCAACTACATTCGCGATCAGTGGGCGTAGTAAAGGGCCGAATTTCTCAAACATATAATATAAATGTGATAGTATAGTAATCCTGATGATATTTTATGTTGTGATGCTGCTTATTCACGATAAATGACGGGTCATAGGAATAATTATAATGAGTCGATAAAAAGTTGTATCCATTTGAGTAATAGTCCTCGTGATTATACTTCCGAAATCTATTCTGTTGATATTTTTTTAATGAACGCTCTTTACTGATGAGTTCCGATTTGGATCCTTCTGGTTCTACATCAAATATTGTCCCGTGTGCGTGCGCGGACGAGTTTCGACGGCATTGTAGTGGCTGCACCGTTCAAAAGGGAATCCACCAGGACGTTCAAACAGAATGCTGTCTCAGGCAGTTTCAGCTTGATGTGTCTAAATGCCCCTTGCATGACTTTTCGTCATGGCAATCTCGTACAACCTCTATTTCCACTACTCTTGAGAAGCCTTATATTTCCCAAAATCGCCGAATTTTCTTGCTTTCTTCATCACCGATGCACTATTCCCAACCTGATTCTTTACTTTTGGTTAGAGAATGTAGTTAGAGGGACGCACTTTTTTTAACCAATATCGAGGGTCAGAGGGCAGCGAAAGGGTGGTAGTCTTCCATACCTGTGCTTAGAGACGGTTCTAGGCGGAAGGATACACTTCTTACCCGAGCTTCAGGAAGGGAGAAGGGACGAGGTGGGGGTGAAATGACTACAACGATATGATGATATGTTAAATGACCACACTGATATGAAAGAACATGATTTCAAGATAAGTCTCAGGAGGTAGGGGCAGCGGGGTAGGGGTGAGATGATTACCTCGTGCAAAAAGCTAGGGTGGGGTATGAGTTGAATATTCAAACGACTCACCCACCTAGGTGCTACTTTCCTCCTGATGTTAGGTTAAAAAACTGTACATTCTTGGCCAAGAAAGGTTCCTGAACACAGTTATGGGCTCACCCCATATGCGTGTGTGTGTATGTGTGTGTGTATTTGACCTGGGGCGTTCAAGTTTGGAACGAGTGCAGGCGGCAGATTTAAGATACCGATGGTAGGTAGTAGAAGATAGCTAGACGGATACAGCAGTCAAGTGGGAATAAGAAGGAATGAACCCAAGGCACGAAAGGTGTCAACGCGCGCGCCAAATTAATTAATCAATCAACTGATCTGGATACGCAGTGCTGGATATGTAGTCAAAAGCAGCAC